TGTTACAAGTTCAAACTGCTATGAAACTATAAAAAATGCTTCATTACTGATCAAACTGGGCACAAATGTTGGCTGGACCATAGCCTGTGGAATAGCATGCTCAATTTTAAATTTCAAATTACCATTGCAACGGGGGGACGTCTTAAGTTTGCCAAAAATATCTATTTTGCCTTGTTTTTTTCCATAAAAACTGATTTCAAGGTGCAGCAACTTCTCAACTGATTGAGATAAAGTCTAAGGCTTTTCGGCGTTGATTACAAAGTACCTTTAAATCGACCTGAGGCCATTTTAGCCCCCCCCCCACATGTCCCAAATCTTTTCGGCGATTAGAGGGGCTACTGTCCCACTTCAAACCCCCAAACAGAAGGGGACACATCCCCCCTGTGGCACCCCTTGATGTACCTCTTTAATGGGGGGGGGGGGGGTGGCACCGAAAAAGTGATCACTCTTTTGAACAACATTTTCTCAAACGAAAAAAACAGTGTTTGGGGCCTAAATAGCGCATGTTTTACGCTATTTGAGGCCTCAAAGGGTTGTCAAGCCTTCAAAACACGCCTTTATGAGGTGAAAGGTTATAAGGAACATAACCTTTTTATTGCATCTGCTGTCCTTTATCATAGTCTTATTTTAATCCATTATTCGTTGTTTTAAGCTGTACCGTTCGGAAGTCAAACGGTAACTCATTGCCAATGACGTAACAAATTTCACGTGCAGACGGTCTGCCGTTGCTAGAGTGCAGGTGCAAAATGACCGAAAGTTACCTTTATATGGATTTTGGCATAGTAGGAAGTCGGTTGATATTAGATATTGGCACATGACACGGTTCAGAACTGTTCACTATTTCGGGGTGATGATGTGTAAGCGGCCGGATAGCTCAGTCGGTAGAGCCGCGTACGGTATTCCGAGGGTCCGGAATAAGTGAACAGTTCTGAACCGTGACACACACTTGCTCAATACCGTCTAATATTGACAATCTTGAGGCAGCATTAATGCACTTTGGATGCATTTTTTTACTATTTAAAGTAAGATATGCAATAATTATTAACAAATTCTGGAAAGGTTGATCATTCGATAGCAACGAGAACTTTGTAAACACAGAAAATTGCTGAGTTCGTTCGACAGAGATTTTTCATGAGCAGGAATGAAAATCTGGATTATTCGCAGATGTTTCCAGTAAAGTACTCCCGAACTCTGCCTATTCTGCACATATAGTCTAAATAAGTATACACAATAACAAATATTTAAGATTAAATGTGGTAAATACTCTGTGTTTACTGCTTGCATTTATAACCAATACTCGTTACACTAAAAAGCAATACTCGTGACACCGGCGGGCAACTCCAACGCAATACTCAGTACACTGACATGTGTATTTATTCTCAAAATGCACTGTCATCTGAGGTTCTTTTGTTGATTGAACATTTACACCATAAACATTATTATCATTATCACATTTCACTCGATTCAAGTTTTTCTTTTAAGGAAGTATATGCACAAAAACATCAAATTTGACTGATCCGAGCTCATTTATCAGGTGAGCAAAGAGACGAATTTTACCTCCTAATTACATTTCAAAGCTATTTCTCAACATTTTTGGGTTTTAAGTAACTAGAGAAATTATCGAAGTATTTGTTTTTCTATACAATTTATATCAAACCAATTCAAAATGACTAAATATCGTCACTGAACTTACCTTCTTTCCCCGTTCAAAGTCGCGAAATGGGATGAAAGTCCTCATTATATCGAGCAATATCCGGGGTACGGTATACCGCAGTGAACATGAATTTATAACAAAAAATTAGCCCTTTTGTCAACTTAAAAAATTTATCATTATCAAGGCTCTTTTACTATCAAGCACTTAGAATAGTCGAGCGTGCTGTCCTACCGACAGCTCTTGTTTACATAATTATGCCCCTTTTTCGACTTAGAAATTCTTGGTTAAGTTTTTGTATGTAAGCTGGTATCTCCATAAGTACTGAAGGGAATGGATTGAAACTTCACGCACTTGTTCTCTGTGATTATCTAAGATGATTGGCACAAGTCCCATAACTCTGATTTGCTTTTTAACATAATTATGCCCCTTTTTCGACTTAGAAATTCTTGGTTAAGTTTTTGTATGTAAGCTGGTATCTCCATAACTACTGAAGGGAATGGATTGAAACTTCACACACTTGTTCCCTGTGATTATCTAAGATGATTGGCACAAGTCCCATAACTCTGATTTGCTTTTTTACATAATTATGCCCCATTTTCGACTTAGAAATTCTTGGTTAAGTTTTTGTATGTAAGCTGGTATCTCCATAACTACTGAAGGGAATGGATTGAAACTTCACACACTTGTTCTCTGTGATTATCTAAGATGATTGGCACAAGTCCCATAACTCTGACTTGCTTTTTTAGCTCGACTATTCGATAAGAATAAGTAGAGCTATTGCAGTCACCCGAGCGTCGGCGTCCGCGTCGGCGTAACCACTTATGTTAAAGTTTTTGTAATAGTTCAAATATTTTCAAAGTCCATTGACATATGGCTTTGAAACTTTGCACACTTGTTCACCATCATGACCCCAATCTGTAGACAGGAGGAGGTAACTCTATCAAGCATTTTGACAGAATTATGCCCCTTTTTTGACTTAGAATTTACGTTAAAGTTTTTGTAATAGTTAAAATATTTTCAAAGTCCATTGACATATGGCTTTGAAACTTTGCACACTTATTCACCATCACGACCCCAACCTGTAGACAGGAGGAGGTAACTGTATCAAGCATTTTGACAGAATTATGCCCCTTTTTCGACTTAGAATTTACGTTAAAGTTTTTGTAATAGTTCAAATATTTTCCAAGTCCATTGACATATGGCTTTGAAACTTTGCACACTTGTTCACCATCATGACCCCAATCTGTAGACAGGAGGAGGTAACTCTAGCAAGCATTTTGACAGAATTATGCCCCTTTTTCGACTTAGAATTTACGTTAAAGTTTTTGTAATAGTTCAAATATTTTCCAAGTCCATTGACATATGACTTTGAAACTTTGCACACTTGTTCACCATTATGATCCCAACCTGTAGACAGGAGGAGGTAACTCTATCAAGCATTTTGACAGAATTATGCCCCTTTTTAGCTCGACTATTCGATAAGAATAAGTAGAGCTATTGCAGTCACCCGAGCGTCGGCGTCGGCGTAACCACTTATGTTAAAGTTTTTGTAATAGTTCAAATATTTTCAAAGTCCATAGACATATGGCTTTGAAACTTTGCACACTTGTTCACCATCATGACCCCAACCTGTAGACAGGAGGAGGTAACTCTATCAAGCATTTTGACAGAATTATGCCCCTTTTTCGACTTAGAATTTACGTTAAAGTTTTTGTAATAGTTCAAATATTTTCAAAGTCCATTGACATATGGCTTTGAAACTTTGCACACTTGTTCACCATCATGACCCCAACCTGTAGACAGGAGGAGGTAACTCTATCAAGCATTTTGACAGAATTATGCCCCTTTTTCGACTTAGAATTTACGTTAAAGTTTTTGTAATAGTTCAAATATTTTCAAAGTCCATTGACATATGGCTTTGAAACTTTGCACACTTGTTCACCATCATGACCCCAACCTGTAGACAGGAGGAGGTAACTCTATCAAGCATTTTGACAGAATTATGCCCCTTTTTCGACTTAGAATTTACGTTAAACTTTTTGTAATAGTTCAAATATTTTCAAAGTCCATTGACATATGGCTTTGAAACTTTGCACACTTGTTCAACATCATGACCCCAACCTGTAAACAGGAGGAGGTAACTCTATCAAGCATTTTGACAGAATTATGTCCCTTTTTCGACTTAGAATTTACGTTAAACTTTTTGTAATAGTTCAAATATTTTCAAAGTCCATTGACATATGGCTTTGAAACTTTGCACACTTGTTCAACATCATGACCCAAACCTGTAAACAGGAGGAGGTAACTCTATCAAGCATTTTGACAGAATTATGTCCCTTTTTCGACTTAGAATTTACGTTAAAGTTTTTGTAATAGTTCAAATATTTTCAAAGTCCATTGACATATGGCTTTGAAACTTTGCACACTTGGTCACCATCATGACCCCAACCTGTAAACAGGAGGAGGTAACTGTATCAAGCATTTTTTTTACTATCAAGCACTAAGAATAGTCTAGCGTTGCTGTCCTACCGACAGCTCTTGTTCGACTTAGAATTTACGTTAAAGTTTTTGTAATAGTTAAAATATTTTCAAAGTCCATTGACATATGGCTTTGAAACTTTGCACACTTGTTCACCATCATTACCCCAACCTGTAAACAGGAGGAGGTAACTGTATCAAGCATTTTTTTACTATCAAGCACTTAGAATAGTCGAGCGTTGCTGTCCTACCGACAGCTCTTGTTACATAATTATGCCCCTTTTTTGACTTAGAAATTCTTGGTTAAGTTTTTGTATGTAAGCTGGTATCTCCATAAGTACTGAAGGGAATGGATTGAAACTTCAAACTCTTGTTGCCTGTGATTATCTAAGATGATTGGCACAAGTCCCATAACTCTGATTTACTTTTTTGCATAATTATGCCCCTTTTTCGATTCATAAATTCTTGGTTAAGTTTTTGCGTGTAAGCTGGTATCTCCATAACTACTGAAGGGAATGTATTGAAACTGCACACACTTGTTGTCTGTGATTATCTAAGATGATTGGCACAAGTCCCATAACTCTGATTGCTTTTTTGCATAATTATTCCCCTTTTTCGACTTAGAAATTCTAGGTTAAATTTTTGCTTGTAAGCTGGTATCTCCATAACTACTGAAGGGTTTGTACCTTTTCGGACAATTTTATGTATTCATATAGGTAAGCATTATTATACTCAATGAAACACCCTTGTGACAAATTTTCGAATAGTCGAGCGTTACTGTCCTCCGACAGTTCTTGTTTTATATTTAGTGCCCTTATTTAAAATATCAGTGGAAATCTGATCACTAATTGTCCATCTAATATTTCAGGTTACAATGGCTTATGTGAGACCAGGAATTCTTCTACGAGGTTTAAAACATCAGTTCTCATGCCTTTCTATTAGAGGTAAGCTTTTACATGTAGCTGACCTGAGGACATAAAGCTTATGTGAGGTTATAGGATCATTGGCTGTCTGTCATTTAACCTTCATTTATGTGGTCCACAATTGTTCTCATGGCGTCTCCGAAACCTCTTTCACAAATTCAACTAAATTTACCTTGGATGTCATTGCATGTTTTTTTAAAGTTGGTTCAAATAATTATCATATATTGGTCAGGGAATCGAAAAATATATTTTAAAAGTAAAGTCTTTAAAAACCTGTACCATGTTTTACCCTAATATTAAACAAGCTGTCGGCTGCTGATTCTACTCCTACAACCAGTGCAGATCTGCTGAAACACCATGGCTGTCTTACCTTGGTCTGCCATGTTCACTTTTCAGTCAATACTTATTTTGAAAATTTCCCCTAAAAATCCTGAATTGATCTGTCCAGATTTAAGTTAAACAAGCTGACTATATATTGGTGGCATAGACAAGTTATTATGTCTACTAAATATTAGTTACAGTCATGTACGTATGTGGTTCTGATGTACTTAGTTCTGAATATAACATGAAATTGATGTAAACTGGACCAATACTGTGTCAAATTTTTTGCCACCACATCGCAGATTCTTTGGTGCCATATACATGTAGCTATTCACCTGCTTGTGTGTTATATAGATTATATAGTAAACTTAAAAAATCTTCTTGTTAAAAACCACTAGTCCGATTCCAAACAAACTTGCCAGGATTGTTCTGTGGATGAAGGGCTTCCAAAGTTGTTCAAAGAATTCAATTCCATGCAGAAATCTGGTTGCCATGGCAAGTTGGCAACCAAAGGAATTATAAGACAGGAATAAAAAGAAAATCTTCTTCTAAAGACCCACAAGGCCTAGAGCAAATTTATTTTGCATAGGGCATTGTCTGGTGGACATCTACAAAGAGTTATTGCCCTTGACTTAGTATAAATTTGCAATATTCAACTTGTGTATACATGCATTATAACTCAAAAAGTATTTGACCTGTAGGCCTGAAACTGAAAGTTTACAAGAATGTTGAACTTATGTGTATGCATGTGTACTTATGCACCTTGGAGTTTGCTTGTGGATTTACTCAGTATTTTAAAGTTCTTGCGCTTTACTTAGTTAAAGATTTTTAGTTTTCAATTTATGGCATGTGTAGCCCAAAATATATTTGACCTAGAGTCATAAGATTGACAAAGCAGTTGAGTGTGGGGGCACCCATGTCCTATGGCCGCATTTCTAGTTTTGACAAATTTTCTGTCCATATTAATTGTAAGAATGGATAAACAATTTTTGAAAAATTACTCAAGAATCTGAGTCGGAAGCAGTTGTGTTAAACAAACATGTTCTTGTTTTTCTCTAAATTTTCAACTGTTTACTGCTGTATGTTGAAAGATCTTCAGGACATGTTATGGTATAGTGTAGACTGTCTGTCTTATTTGACATGACCCCAGTATTGATAAGTTTCAATTACTCAGGATTGGTTAAAATATGCTAAAAGCTTTCTTTACAGTCATGCTAAATTTGTTTTTAACTAAATACATGTGACTTTAATTGAATAACATATACCACCAATATAAGATGATGCCAGCCCGTGAAGTCTTGAGTCCTCTTGACTGCTTAATTTTAATATCAAAATCCCTCCCATTAACAATGGACAGTTCTTAATTGAAACCTGGGCAATTTTAGTAAAAATTTAATGGTGCAATTGTTAAAAAAATATGTTTGACACTCAGACTGCAAGTCATTGTGAAGATTCATTTTAAGTTTTATTAACCATGAATTTCCATATATATTTTTTCTTTCAGGATTTCAGCATAGTTCAACTCAAGAATGTACAACAACTCAGACACCACTGCTTCCATGTCGACCACATCTTGTTCACCAGGATACTAAATTTGATCCAAGTTTGTCGAGAGCGCCTTTAAACTCACAGAAAACACACAAGTATAGATTTCTAAATAGATCCGTGACAGACACCATTGTTGATAACATTCAACGTGTACCAGTTTATGATTGCCCAAAGATAACAAATCAAAACAAAGAAATAAGTGTGCCCTCATTAATAATAAAAATACCTTCATTACCAATCGGTGATCCAGAAACTACACCCACTGAGATGGAGACTCCAGGAATCAACCCTGTAGAAAAGTTGGCACATAGAGATAGAATGAGGATCAGACGAAGAAAAATGAAGAAACATCAGCGACAGAGAAGAAAGGCAAGAATATGGCCAATTTTACGTAAACAAAGGTATCAGAAAAGTTTGAAAAAGAAAGCAAAATTTGAAAAAGAACTAGCAACATTAAGAGGGTATGGAACAAACTTCGATGCTTATGCTGAAATTAAAGAAAATTTACGTAAAGCAAGGAGGATGGGGTATTCCTTTGATATTTTTGGTGAAAAGTCAAAGACATTTGGTTTTTTAGATGATATGAAGCAGAGCAAGTAAAAGTTGTTTCAGAGAAATATAGACTTAAAACTGTAAAAATATATCATTTATTTCCATGGTTCACAGTTCATTGTTTTAACTATGAGTTACATTGTAAGAACAGAAGACGATAATGATCAGAATGATTTAAACAAATGTTATGTGTACAATGTTATTCTTTAAATTTGTTCCGTAAATTAACAGTACATAAGTATTGAACACTAATGGATGTTATTGTTTTTTAACTAGGTTTTCATGAAGGAAAACTCTGGTTATTAGATTGACTTATGTTGGCAGGCAGGCTTTATTGTTTCTGTTTGCAACTCCTACATTTCTCAAAGGATTTGTCATCAAGTGTCCTTTTACATATTGTTTAGGTTTTATGATTCAAACATTTTTGCCACATTATTGCTCTTTGTTTTTTAGCTCACCTGTCACAAAGTGACATGGTGAGCTTTTGTGATCCCTTTTCGTCCGGCGTCTGTTTATCATCTGTCTGTCTGGCATCCGTAAACTTTTATTTTAAACAACATCTCATCATAAATCACTGAGCCAATTTCATCCAACCTTCACAGGAATGTTCCTTTGGTGATCACCTTCAGAAATTGTTCAAAGAATTTAATTCCATGCAGAACTCAGTTAACTTCTTCTTTTAAAAACCCCAAAGAGCTAGAGCTTAGATATTTTGCATGAAACATCTTCTAGTGAGTGTCTACCAAGTTTGTTCAAATAAATACCGTGGGGTTAAAATTGGTTCTGCTCAGGGGGTCATTGTTTTTCCTATATAATTATATAGAAAAACTTAAAAAGATCTTTTAAAATACCCAAAGATCTAGAGCATGAAACATCTTCTAATGGTGTCTACCAAGTTTGTTCAAATGAAAGCCCTGGGGTTACAATTAGACCTGGGTAGGGGCAGGGGTCATTGATTTTCCTTATATGTGTATAGGAAAATTTTAAAAAACCCAAAGAGCTAGAGCTTAGATATTTAGCATGAAACACTTTTATATGCCCGAAAAAATTTCAGACATATTATGTTATACCCCCTGGTGCCTGTCCGTCCGTCTGTTTGTCCGTTAGCAATTTGGTTTCAGAAGAATAACTTACGTTCCATTTGGCCCATAATATTCAAACTTCATAGGATGATTGTCCATTTTGAGTAGAAGACCCCTATTGATTTTTGGGTCACAAGGTCAAGGTCACTATAACCTTAAAACTGAAAATGGTTTTTGCTCAATAACTTAAGCATTAATCAACCTACAGCTGTAAAATTTTGTAGGATGAACAGCCATGTCCAATACATGACACCTAATGATTTTAGGGTCATAAGGCCAAAGGTCAGGGTCACAATGACCTTAACATTGAAAATTGTGGTTTCTGGAGCATAACTCACAGTCAATATTGAGTAGAAGACCCTTATTAGTTTTTGGGTCACAAGGTCAAAGTCACTGTTACCTTAAAACTTTAAAAGGGTTTTTGCTTAATAACTTAAGTATTAATCAACCTACAGCTTTAAAATTTTTTAGGATGAACAGCCATGTCTAATACATGACTCCTATTGATTTTAGGGTCAAATGTCAGGGTCACAATGACACTGAAAATTATGGTTACTGGAGCATAACACAAGTTCCATTTGGCTTATTTGCCTATATTGAATAAAAGATCCATATATATATATTGGGGTCACAAGGTCAAAGGTCAATATCAAATGACCTTAACATTGTTAACAGTTCTACAACTGTCAAACTTCATAGGATGATCACTTATATTGTGCACATTAATTATATGCTGTAAAAATTTGCTTATATTATGTTATACAGTATACCCCTGGCATTTTTCCGTCCATCCATTGTAGCATTTTTACTTACAAGATAAAAACTTGATGGTGGTGCTTTGGAAACAGCAACTGTATATATATGAAGGATCTTAAGCTATAAAGGAGGATTGCTTTTTGAAGGAGCATTCTGAATGGTATCTTTTATCTCTACCTCGTTTTCCACAATTATTCATAATATAATATTCATAAGAAATATTCTAATGTCTTACAAATGCTTCATCCTTACGAAAGAAAAAAAACACTTCAGGCATATAATGCTCCGCTTTAGTGGCTGTCTACCAAGTTTGTTTAAATAAAAACCTTTGCGTCAAAATTGGCCCTGCCTGGGTGGGGGGAGCATTGATTTTCTTTACATGTATATATTAAAAACTGATGTTTTACACATGTACTATTTCAGATACAAATATGAACTTTGTAATATCAGTTTAAGATTTAGATTGTATATCTGCTTTTGTTTTACAATATTACTTGTTCCTTGTCACGGAGAGTTTTTATATACAGGTGAGCGATTTCAGGGCCATCATGGCCTTCTTGTTTGTTTTTCATGCCCCTGAACTGTCCGTCCGTCCTTCTGTCCGTCTGTCCGTACGAGGTTAACCTAGAACGGCAAGATGGATTTTTCTTTAGTTCTACCTGTACCAATGGCTTCTTAGTTTACACACTTACTAATCAATACAAAGTACATGATCTGGTCAAGTTACATAACTCTGGCTTTCATATTTACCAAGTTATTGCCCTTTATGGCACTTAGAAAATGAATAATGGTTAACCTAAAACGGCAAGTTGGAAATATCTTAAGTTGGCTTCATAATTTCCACACCTACTTATCAATACAAAGTACATGCTATTGCCAAGTTATATAACTGTGTCATCCATATTTTCTCAGTTATTTCCCTTTTTTCACTTTGAAAATAGGGCCTTGTCTGGTTAACCTATTCCGGCAAGTTGGATTTATCGTAAATTTCTCTTA